GGCTTCTTCTCATCAGCATCTTCACCTGGATTGGTTTCGCCATCGCAGAGGCTATCCCCTTCTTCAGCGACTTGATCGCCATCACATCCAGTCTCCTGAACTCGGGTTTCACTCTGTACTGGCCCGCCGTGATGTGGTTCATGCTTCTGAGAGAAGGAAAGTGGTACAGCAAGAAGAACATCCTTTCGAGCGTTGTCAACGCCATCATCTTCATCATGGGCCTTGTCTTCTTGGTTGCCGGAACCTACTCCGCCGTCATCGATATCGTAAGTCAACTCACACAGACGTCTTTGTAACATGAACTAACATCATCTGCAGATCGACCAGTATGATCACGGAACTGTCAAGAACGCTTTCACATGTGCGCCCCTTGGCTAAGACCACAGAAGTGGTGAGTGGCCAGGCACAGCTGGTGACGGGGCCTAGTCCAGTCACCGAACTTTGGGATATTACATGTCACACATATGTCCGTATCCCACATAATACAACACCAAAACACCATCGTAGGGGCCATGCGTAAACGTAGGCGTGACATGTACTTCGTATACAAGCATTAATTCTCTCTTACTATGCTTGGTTGAAACATCCCATTGCTTTATGGTATACGAAACGCGTACGATGTTGCATACACCCACAGCCATGGACTCGTCCCTAGTCTTGACTGGTCACTGCTTTATGTCGCATGACCATTGTGGTGGCATGGAACAAAGTAATTTGTAGCGCAAGACCACCGATCATGGTTCACAGGTAGTGGTGATGCATCAGTTTGGTGTATGCTCCTTTTTATCTTAGCAGTCTATCGGTCTAAATGAACCAATCCATCTATTCTTTTCACAGCTTGGCCTGCTCAGCTCTTGTCAACTTCCTCAAAGGGGGACCGCCTCGGCTACCATCACCCTGTTTTACCATATCCTCTCCAGTTGGGGCTCGTAGCCTCCACTTATGTCGAAGCTCCTTGGGAGCCTTATTCTCAAAACAATCAACAACATACCTTCCAAGAACAGGAAGGAACTTGAAAGCGCTATGTCATAATTAGCAAAGATTTGCGTTAAGTGTCATGGAGTAACTCACTGTCCAGCACCACCAGTAGCAAGGAAAAGACCCGGGCGCACAGGATGATGGTCCACGATAAAGTCTCCCTCAGGCGTATCAGAGTACCAGCAAAGTCTTGTTCTCAACCACTCCCGGTCCGCAACCTCAGGGACAAGATCTTGTAAACCCTCACGAAGAGCTCGCAGTGCATCTGCCGGTAAATAATTGGTCGTAGCGTTGTTTCCATCTCGCTTGGGAGATGATACCATTTCGGTCTGGCCTAGAGGATCTTTAACCTCTACTTCAGTAGCCCATCCGTAACCGTGACGCGCAATCTTTAGAATATGTGTCTTTGGCGTAGGTGGGAAGACAAACACTCCTGTGCTGAGATTGATGATGACGGGCATGTCTTTGAGTCTCTCTGCTTCATCAGGGGTGAGGCGAATGAACCCGACTGGTTGTCCAGAGCCTGATGAGGCATGGCTGATTGGGAGAAGTCTGTTTGACCACGCTCCAGTGGCTATAATGACTTGCGCTGCAGGAATAGTATCACCTTCAGCGACATTGACGCCAGTGACTTTCTTGTCACTGTAGCGTAGAGACAAAGCTCTTCCTCTTGCGCCTGTGATGAACGACACACCAGCAAGAGAGCACTCAGCAGCTAGTTGCTGTATACTAGACTCTGCATCCGCCCAACCACCAGTCTTGTTGAAATACGCCTTCTTGCCATCAAGCTGAGCCTGAACAGCAGGGAATTGTTTTCGAATATCGTGCGCATTCTCGTACTCCTCCAGTGTTCCACCAAGAGTCTTGTTTGACTCCTTACTCTGCTCAACAAAGGAGTTTCCAGTAGCAGCATCATTGAGCATCACAAAACCCGACTGGTGATAGTGCTGTGAATATTGACCCGTCCAGCCGTCGAGGGCTTCAGTGGCCATCTTGCCATAGAAAGGATCAGCATATTCCACGCGAATCACACGTGAGATATCAACACTGCTTCCATCTATCACAGGCGGTAGATATCGATCGAGCACTGTAACATATTGGTAACCTCTCTTCTTGAGTTCAAGGGCAGTTGAAAGGCCAAAGACACCAGCGCCCACGATGACGATGGGCTCATTCTTTGATGCAGGCGTTCTAGAAGTCATGTTGGTGTCGAGATAAGAAGATACTAGTGATAAGAACAAGTAATGATCTGAAGAATGGAAAGAAAGAAACAAGCAGCCGGTCTTATACTAGACAAGCGACTTGTATAAGTCGATGTCCAAGACGGAAAATTGGTCTAAAACTCCGTGTCCAGAGCCATTGACCAATCGTGTTTCACCGTCTCTTCACCAATGGGCACGGAAAACTACGACGACAATTCTCCGGTCAACGACTCACTAATAACGCTATCACTAGATCAACTTCCCAAATCATGAGATACGCCCAAGGGAAAAGCTCTGGAATTCGGTATCTTTTTAATATCTTGAAGAAAAATATCTCGGAGTCGCCCGTAAGCTTCTCCAAATTGAGTCACGTGCGCTTTTTCTCTGTAAAGAGTGGGCACGGAGAATCCGTGTCTCGTCCTCTTCATCCCAACTACATATTGTATTGTATATGCTTCCTCTGAATGCTTGTCCACCAGCCCCACACTCGACTTCATAATGACAGGTAATCCCGAATCATCCGTCCGGCGTGCGTGTGAAAGCTGTCGGTGAGTCGTATGATGTATTTACAAGGGTCGTTTTCTAATCCGGGAACAGACGGAAGAAGACGAGATGTACGGGGGAACGACCTGTGTGTTCCTTTTGTGAGAGGTTGAATCAGCCTTGTGAATATTTACCGAGGAATCGAGAGACTGTTAAGCGAAGGAGGAGGACTTCTAGAGCGTGAGTTGAATCCTGGCTGAATGACTTGTCTTATGTGTTACTAGGAACCCGGGATCGAGGGATCGTGTTTCGAGTGTTGAGAACCGGGATGAGGTATACGATCTTATTCAGTGAGAAATACCGATATTCTATTGTGAATGCAACTGCTAACAAGTGAAAAGTCATCCTCAAGCTGCCTCATCCAGCAATGGCTCAGCCTTGACTCCGGACTCCCTGCCAAGGCACACAAACAGGTCAGGATCGTTCGTCGAAAGCGCTTCAAGACGACTGAACAGAGTGAGCATCAATGATGAAGTCTCAGTATCTTGGTAAGATGGCCCTCTGTACCTTATACAATAAGCTCACAACGACCAGGCTCCCTTCAGCAACAGAGGCAAGGCCATCGCCAGATTCACTTGACCATGCAGTAGAAGAATACCGAAGACGGTTGTACTTCCAACCACTGCCTCTCTTCAATCCAGAAGGCCTGAGAGATCGTATTGAGAGATTCCCCATGTTTCTCCAGTGGATCTTCTTGGCACTTGCTCTATCAAATCTCCCTTATGATTCGAGCAGCGCAAAAGAAGCTGACTTGATACACTCCCATGCAAGGTCTGCGCGAGATATGGTACTTGAACTTGCCATGCGAGGAACAGCCCAGTTGGAAATTTCACAAGCTCTCTGTCTTCTCGCTTTGAGTGACATCCTTGGTACCAATCTCAAAACCCGTTTTCAGGATAACACTAACCCGCCTGCAGAGGGAAGACCAGCTTTAGCTCTAATGACAATAGGGGCAGCCAGCAGACTCGAGCTCGTCCGTGGAGCAGGCTACTCTGAATCCCCTCATAGCCCCCAAGGAGACGCCAGCCTCAGATGCTACTGGAGTGTCTTCATTCTCGAAAAAGGCTTCGCACCACGCTTCACTCTCCTCTCCCAAACACACACCAAACCTGAATACCCTCGTAGCGCAAGAGAGCCCTCGCCACCAGCCTATCTAGGCGATGAAGAATACGCGCCAGATCTAGAAAGTATTCGCGACGACTTGAGGACAGATCCTGGAATAACATCACATGCTGTGCGAGCTGTATCGTTCTGCGGCGACGTTATCTCGTATCTTCATGCGCTGCATATCGGAAAGGCTGATAACCCCGCTGACACGAATTCCAACTTTTACCAACTGACGAATACACTGTATGATCTCGAGTCTAGACTCGGTCATATACATTTCGTTCGCAACGTGGGCTTTTCGGAACGGACATCAGAGGAGTTTGAAAGACATCGAGAGTACTGGGCGCCATGGCTTCTCTTCCAAATCACAGCGCATGCAACACAAGGATTATTGAACCACCCATTCATCCATCTCGTCACGCTCCGAAGAGCGAATCGGCCTTCTCAGCCGAGATTATTCCTCCAACAAACTGTCGATCAAGCTATGTTTCACTCAGCTTGGGTAGCGCGCTTGGTCCAAACATGTATAGATCGTGGATTAATGGTGTATGATCCATTAATAGGCGATCTAGTCGCTGCGACGGCGACAATACCGTGGCTTTTCCAGTATGCGAGGGATGCCAAAGTCTCAGAAACATCAAAGGAGAATTATAGAAAATGTATTGAGTTCTTAGAGTCGATGCCTGATCCTTCACCGAGGAGTATACACAAGGTTTGTCAAAACACACCAATCTGGGAGTATGTACTAACGATATCAGCGAGAGCTTTTGCATCAACTACAAACAATGTCGAGTCAAGCCCAGGATAACAACATGATTAGTTTTCAACCCTCCAAGATCTGGCAGCTCATTGACTCTGATATCATGGACGCTGTAGCACCACAACCTACGACTGATGGGACACAGGGCGGCCAATCTGATGCTTCGAAGACAACCGTTAGTGTGCAAACGACTTTTGTTCACCCTGTTGGTGAACGACGAACAGGTCAACAACAAACTTCGCTGGGCGATTCGATGACTGCTGATATCTACGAAGGCTTGGAGCAGTATTCACTTGATAGTATATTCTCGCAGCCTATGTTTATCGACCATGCGTGGCTGCATGTGTAAAGAATATTAATTAAATGATAATAAATCATCTACGCATCTTATTGCATTCGCATTGTTTGAGCTATGATGCCCATCTTTGTACAAACTCATCCTTCTTCACACTCTTCGCCAACGCCTTCTTCGCCACAACACCATCCAACTTCTCCTTAACCTTATCCACCTCTTGACCCAAAACATCAATCGACCCTTCAAACTCCGGATCAACCATCTTAATCTCCCCAAACGGACTCTCCGCCAATACACTATCCCTCAAAAGCTGAATCGCCAATCTCGCATCATCCAACCTCGACGTAACACTCGTCTCAAAACTCTCCTGTGCATTGCGCACCACATCTGTAGTTTTACCAGATCTTTCCGTGAAAGCTTTGTTCAGAGCTGATACTTGGTCTTGAATGGAAGCTTCTTCTGAATCTGGTAGTGAGAGCGCTAAGTCACGGAGAAGAGCTTCGATTGCGGGTTCGTCGAGAATACCGGATGAGCGACGTCGGTTATTGTTGCTGCGACGTGCACCGTCTGTGTTGGCGCGCATGCGAATTGGCGAGGGGTTTCGAATGGGAGATGCTGGCATAGCGGCTCTAAGAGATTTCTTCTTTTCGGGGGATAGTGAGGCAGATGATTCTGCTTTGGCTGTAGCGATGATGGAAGATGCCGCTGCGTTGTGGGATTTAAGAGTTTCGACACGGTCTGTGAGCAGTGTTATCCTTTCTACGAGATAGTCAAGACACTCGTTGACCTGAACAGTGTTAGCGACATGATGGATATGGTGTTTGAATGTACGTACGTAAGAAACTGCCACCGCTGAGCGATGTATGCTCTGTCCGCTCTGAGCATTCGTAGCCTTCAGCGCTGGTTCCAAATGCTGCTGCTCAGCAGACATTTGTGCAACAGGTAAGATCTCCGAGTACAGCGACTCAAGCTCTTCCTCGAGAGCTTTAACGTCTTCCTGGGTAGCAGCCTTGACATCCCCCGAGCGCTCCGCTGCAAGGATAGCCTCAAGATAAATCCTATCCAATCTCGTCCTCAACGTCTCAACAGTTGTTTTGATCAGCCTAATCATATTAGCATAAATCAATGGAAGGATAAAGGAGGACTTACCGCATACAAGTCTCCCTCAATTTCTCAATCGTCTTCTCCTCCTCTGGATCCTGCTGATCAAGCTCCCACCCAAGCTTCTGCAAACTCGAGAGTAGCTTATCATCAGACTGAAACACCGCATCAACCGTCTTCTTAAGATTCGATCGCGAGTCCTTAGCAATCTGCTCCAGATCTGCAACACGATACTCCAGACTCTGTGCCTCACCATCAACCTACACCACATTAGCAAACTCCCTCGTCTCAAACGACCTCGGACAAGTCTGTGTTACCTCAAACACCAATTTCTTCAACGCATGTTTCGTCTTGTTAAGCCGCGCCTCTTCAAGATCCCTCCTCTGAGTCTCCGCCTCATCACGCTTCTTCACCAACCTCGCCAGCGCATCACGCTGCTGCTTCAGCGTCTCAGTCTGCTTCGATATCGTAGCCGTCGACCTATTCAGCTCCTCAATCGCCGCCCTCACATCATCCTCACTCACCGCCTGCACCTCTCCCAGATCATGCAGGTCTGCCAACCTGTCAACCTGCCCGCTCTTATCAAGCGCAGTATACCTAACCAACCCCCGCCCTCATCAGCATAAAACACAAAACAGATACACAAAAGGTAACGACTCACAGTGCCAGCTCATCACCCGTGAGGAGGTGATCGCTCGCGAGGTGCAAGTTCGCCCAGTCGACGAATGAAGCATCTGATAGGGCGTGTTGCACGTCTTCCTTGGAGGCGGGGATGCCGTACGCGCGGGCTGCCTTGAGGAGCAGGGCTTCTGCGCGGTGCTTGGGGCTGAGATCCATTCTGGACCTGTGGAATAGCGAGGTGGCGTTTTCTGAAGTAACCGTCCGTGATGGGGTCGTACAGCTAACGTTTTGCCTTGCAGGGTTTTGATTGAGTAGCGGTGTTGATGATGACACAAGTCAAGTCGTTCCTGGGAAAAGATGGAGATGTTGCTGAGTGCGATGGATAAAGATACTCAGTCAGACGGTGTACTGAGCCTCAAGTGTTGTCCACCCAAACAAATAACTCCCAGCTGAGAATATAAAAACAGCCAAGAATACCAGCAATTGGCTTTCAAAACAGTTCATTCAAACGTCAATGCTGTCCCGTGCCGTCGTGATGATGCTCAAGATAACCTCATATTCAAACAAAACAAACACCCCAGACGTTTAAGTTAAATGTCGGCCCAAACATCCCGGGCGGTCAAACAACCCCTGGACCCTTCGCGGCACTTTTTCTCCAGGGGACGTACACCTAAAAGACCAGTGAAGGCGGGGCTAGCGTGCAGCGCATCCTGCATGAGGCGAGCTTCCACGGACATCTTGATGGTCTTTACAAGAGGCGATTATTGGTGAAGAGAGAAATATTCTCAGATCGCAACGGTTGTGCATGCATTCAGTTTGTTTAATGCAGGGGAGATGTCCTGTTGATACGCTGCCATTGCAAGGCACAGCACCATGTTCAGAGTTGTTTGACAAGATGCTTGCTTTTATGCAAGTCTCAGATATCAGCTTATAAAAGTAAAAAATAGCTTAGCAAACACTTAAGATCCATCATACTCGTCATCTGCATATATGATACATCCCCCTTCTCATCCGTTTGAACCTCCCGTCCCACGTCCCCCAGCATCGTCCTCCCTGTCGTGACCAAGAAACCGTCACCATCTGAACAAGTCTTCCAACCTCCAATATCATATCCATTGCTCATCTGTACATCGACTCCCCGTGGGGCATATACTCATGTTTCAATCTATTTCTGGCCCTCTCCATCATGACGTCTTGTCAAACAACCCTCGTAACGGGAAAAGAAATGATACAAGATCGAAGAGCACCCTTCAAACGGGACGGTCTGGCTCCAAGGCCGTGCAGTCCCGTTCTTCCCGTCCAATGTGTCAAACCGGTGCAAACAAGATATCATATGCAGCCAATCTTACATGGTCAAAGGTGGTTCAATTCCTTCAGACATGCTCGGTAACAGACCGATCTAGATTGGAGATATGTCGGGTCCCTACATCATCATTCCAAAAAGAGCTGCACACGTCAACAGATAGAACGATAATATGTTTCATACAGACCTGTAGCTGTGAATATGTGACCACTTCCCGCAGAATACGCTCTGCCAGTGCAAACCGCCGGCCCGCCTTGGCCTTGTCACTGTCAACACTTCTGCTTCCCCCATTCACCCGTTTCCAACTCCTTTTTTCCTTTTCCAACACATCTCGCTTGTCCCTCGAACCCTTTTTAAACAGTCACCCTTCCGCAAGTCGCGAAGAAAGGGGCGTATTGTATCTTCATGTGTAACGCTTCCAAAACCGCCGACCTTGTGCTTCTTCACCCTCACCAACCTGGCTGTGCTCATCACGTCGACGTTGCAGTTGCAGTTGCAGTTGCACCATGACTACTACCATTAGAAACAACGTTTCTGAAATCCTCCGCTGTCTCAGACCCTCAAATGAAGCTCGCAATCCGCTCCTCTCGAGGCCATCATGGATCAACTCCCCACAATCACTGTTTCAAGCAGCCCGAGACATGTCGCTATCAGATCTCTGGAGGACGCGATTCATCACCGTCGCCGGCAATGTGCTGGAGTTTGGCTGGGTCGTCGTCGTCTATCTCATGAGCGAGGTCATCATATGGGGTTTGAGTAGGGCGTTGGCTCCCGTGCATCTCGAGTTCTTCTCCTCTATTTTTGGAATGGTTCTGACATTTTGCTTCATGGCTGCGGCCTACCTGTGCTTCGCTGATGTTGATGGCGTGTATCGAAGGCACATCAAGTCCAAGGTAAGTGAACACGATTCACCAAAAAGGCAGCCCTAACTTTCGCTTCAGGTCGACTTCATCAATGTTCATCTTGGCCTGGGCTTTCCAATCCCGCTCGTCATGCTCAATCAGAGCGACATTCTCAGCGGCCGCGATATCGCCTGCGTCATTGGCAACTTTGGTACGTTTTAGTGCAAAACTCCTCGAATACCTTCTCATCGTCACTCCAGTAATCACCAATCTTGCTTCTTGGGCCATGGTCTTTGCCCTTTCGCTTCTCGTTATGAGTTGTGTCGCGCGAATGACTGGTCAAGTGCCCGATGACTTTTGCCTTCCGCAGCCTATTACAGGAACTCTTCCTCGGATCGAAACCAGCTGGCTCTCCGACTCAACTCTGGACCATGGACAGCAGCGTATGTTTGGCCGTCGCGAAAAGGTAGCAAACCCGCCGAGAACCGGGCCGGACGAAGCAACCTCAGAAACCCCCAGCCAACGATCATCCGTTGTTTCCAAGGATCCGGTTCCGGTGTCACAGGTTTGGCACTTCTGGATGTCCAATTTCCCACTGATCGCATCGTCTCTCGCCATCTTCTTGATTGGGGCACCAGTAGCTGCGGCCACTAACGATGACCGTATCCTCGACGGTTGCGTTCTCTGGTTCGTCTGGGTATTGACATTGCGACTCCAGCGGGCCTTCAAAGCCTCCCAACTTTGCACCGACATGCCGAAGCTCAAGAACACGATCGTCACGCTTATGAATCCTGTCCTGTTCACGACCCTCCTCATGACGGCATATACCCGAGCCAAAGCTGGCGCATATGGCTACGGCAGTATAGACAAAGTACTGCGCGATTTCAGCGGAGGAACGCCCCTTTATGTCCTTTGGACCTCTGTGGCAACTAGAACGCCCCTTTCGGATGGACGAAGCCCGTGGTTTGGCGCCGGTGACGCTGCACTTTCGATCCTCGAATGTGGAATTCTGATATGGGGGTTTAAGCTATACGAATGCCAACGGCAGCTCTTCAGTCTCGCCGGTTTCCTCACTATTATCCTGGCAACGGCAGCCGCAGCTGGAAACGTCTTCCTGTCGGTCCTGGGAGGGAAGCTTGTCGGTCTGAACGCACCCGCAGCGCTGGCATTCGCTGCACGAAGCACAACTTTGGCACTTGCCAAACCGGCCATGGAAGCACTTGGTGGAAATCTCGGTGTGAATGCTGCCCTGGTGGTAAGCAATGGAATCCTTGGTCAGCTTTGCTATCCGTTTGTACTCGACAGACTGGGCGTTAGACGAGAAGACCGTGTCTCCCGTTCAAGCGTCAACATATCCGACTCCGATGGTAGAACCTCACGTCTGAGCTTGAAGCCTCTTCTGAGAACAGCTCAAAAGGATTTGCCAAGTGGCGATGATCCCTTTACAATCTCAGCCGGGATCACAGTTGGTATCAACGGCGCAGCCATGGGCGTGTCGTATCTGTATGAGACTAGAAGTCGCGCAGCTCCGTACGCTGCTCTTGCTATGACAGTCTCCGGTGTCATGACGGTGGTTTTCACGACTGTCGAACCTTTCAAAGGCGCTGTGTTGGGTCTGGCCAACTGAAAAAGAAATGGCGATAGAATCTCGGCAGGAAAGACGTGGTAGCGTTCGTGACCTGGTGTTTAGAGTTATATACTTGCTAGGAAGACGGATAGAAAGACAAAGAGCAAGTCTGGTAGAAGCCAGTTGTGGCCGGGTACTGTAGATATTTAGACATGGAAGAATAATGTAGACAATCAAGATTTAAAAGACTGCCAGTCTCACTGAAGTATGAATATGACGTCCAAGTTAGCCACATATATATCACGATATCGACAATGACGATCGGGAGGTATTGCGCGAGGACGTCAAGGATACGCTCTGCTTTGTCAATTTACAAAATTTGTCAATTATATATACTTTTCAATTTATTCCAGGCTAAGGAAAGTCAGTCAGTAACGAGCTCAGCCCATAGACATTAGACTTACCGCTCAATCAAGTGAAGGCCGCTAGCTGTCTCCACAATTCCGCTCATCTGGCCAGGCTGGAGGCCAAAGGAAGCATCTTCAAACTCCTTCTGCATGTCTCCCTTGCCAAAGTATCCAAGGTCGCCTCGCTTACGGGCAGAAGAGCAGTCGGATTCAGTGAGGGCGAGCTCACCAAGTGTGATACTACCAGACTTGATCTTTTGCTCGTGGTCCTGGATGATCTCAAGAGCCTCTTCCTTGGTGCGCGTGATCTCAGCCTGCAGCAATTGTGTTAGTCAGCGACCGATGCGCCTGTCGGATATGATAGTCGGGTATGCGCACCTCTCTCCAGCTGCTGGGTCGTCGGCTGTCGCGGTGCTTGACTAGTAGATGAGCAGCACGGATCTTGCCCTCAGGAACACCAGCGACTGCACCAGGACGAGAGCCAGCACTGTGGTTAGTAGCCATATAATGCTTAAGCTTCTCGGTGTCGGTGCCCGAGGGAGGTTCCCATCGTGAGAGCTTCTCGGCAGAGTTGAAGTAGTAGGGGAGGTTCTTGGAGTTGGAGTGTCGGACCTCCCAGCCCGGAGGAAGACCAGTGTCAGCCTGTGGTGTGCATGTTAGACGATGAATTGAGTCTGAGTTGACTGACGCAGCCAAGGGAGGGGGCGACAGGAAATCTCGAAGGATCTGCGGTGGTTGTCGAGGCTTGCTGTTGAGCTGCTTACCATGCTTATATCTGTTGTTGACTTTGGTGAAGTGGGTATAAGCGAGAGCAAAAATGAGCTGTGTTCAGCGTCGTCGTCGGGGTATCGATCGTAAAAAAAAAAAGTTCGTCTTTGAGGGAAGCAAAAGTTGCAGCTCGAGAGAATGTGCTGCGAAGAGGAGTGATGAGATGGATGGGCTACCAGTTAAGGTATGGTAAGCTGGAGCTGATGGAGCTGGGTCCTCCCGTCGCTTCTCGACTCGCTGGGCTGGGTCTAACGTAACTGGAACAATGACGTGCCGTAACTTTGCTGTACAACAGAGGGAGCGACAGACCCCCGCGGTTGCCATGCGGCGTTGCTGTGGGCGGGGTTTGACGCGGGGTGGCCCTTCCTTCTTTCAGTGGGTGGGTGAGCTACCCGACGCTGTGATAGGCTCAAGGGCTCGAAGCGTTGCAGACTCAACCTCTAACAAGCGCCTCAATACTACGCCGTTACCTCTCTTAACGAGGGATATATCCAACTAGGTTGGTAATAAACCATGCTTACTGGCTTTAGATCATGGGATCAGTCTTTAGTGCATGCTTAATCAAGGGGTTACGTTGTCACCAGACGCTCGGCATCGTCGTAGCTGAAGGCACATACATGTCCGGAGACCTTTTAAGCCAGTCATCTTCTGGATTCAGTTGACAGAAATAGCATCCGGACGGCATTTGCAAGTTTTGACAGGAAGGGATGCAGCATCAACGGTGAACTTCGGAGGTTCTGTATCGGAGCCTTTCAACTGAGCCAGCTTCTCCGCTATCCCCATCCCTCCCACACAGTACCAGTACCAGTACCAAAGGGAAAATGCGGAGGTGCGCTTCCATCCATTCGGAACAACCTGCAGATCTGTCAGTTGTCACTAGCCCTGGACCTGGTTCGGATAGTTGAATGCGGGTGGAATACCGGTAGAATAACACGGAGATGCCAGCCGGTAAATCGATAGTCTACAGGTTAAGTGGCTAGCTGAGTGTCTACAATCATCTGCACGCGAAAACTTTGACGGAAGAGTGGGGGGAGAATTACAAATAAAGCGTAGACAATTATAATTTTTCTTTACCCTTTTTAATATTGGAAAAAGAGGTTTAATGTGTCAAAAAAGGGAAGCAGGCGTTGCGAAGACTGCCATCAAGATCAAACTATAACACCATTCATACCAGTAAAATGGAGGTATACAGGCTGGGAGCGGGAACTCAGGAACTTGATCCTCAATGACAAAAAGACCTCAGTAGATGAGCATAAGTTTAAAATATCTTTTCTAAAGTTTAATAAAACCTTTTTGCTGAGTTTATTTTTATACCTTATGTTAAAAGTCTGAAATTTTCTTGCTCTCGGAGGCAATAGGTGCCCCATTTCACACCAGAGACGTGGAACTTTAATCGGGCGAGTGATACAGAACATGCATGGCCGTGAGAGAACGTGTTCAAAAACGCGTAGTTGCCTTGGGCCGCTCAATTAGAAACATGCATCCAATCTCATCGTACACCCAGCTAAGATATTCGGGACCAGAGTAGATTGTGAGACATGTCACTATGCTGCCACTTCAATAGAGACGTGAAGCCTTCCTATAGTAAACACACCCAGAAGAAATATAAAGGTAGGACTGGCATTCCGAACCACGGTTATACTTGAGAGTCTTTGATCCACGTCTCGTTGACACCTCAGAGTTGAGGACGGTGTGTAATTGAAACCCCGTTGTTAAGCATTCAATCACTTTGTGGAATCATCCTTCGAACATGTCTGACCGGGTCGCCAACTCTGAAGCAGTAGCTAAGTCACTCAAAAGATCTCTCAGCACTCCCAATATGCTTTATCTATGCAAGTTAGTGGCTGCCTTCAGAGCAAATGGTATCACCAAAGCTGAAGGCGAAGGTGTAACTACAACGCGTGGGGTTGCAAGTGCGGTTTGTTTGCTGACTCCACAGACATCAACGGCCTGACTGAGGTGGCCAACGCAATCAGATTGCGAATAGTTCACGCAAGGCCATAACGTATCTTCTGTTCCATGGCCCACCCCGTCCAGAGGTTAAATCGATTCGCTGAGTCGCCGACCTTCTAAGCGTCAGATCGGATAATTTACTTTGAGGTAGGCCTAGGAATAACCCCTTACCAACTCACCAGTATATTCTCTCTCGGCCAATTACGAATACCATGGTCTACGTATATTCTACACGTGTACATGTCTGCGGCCTTTTTCGTGTTGATCGTGTCTCAAGTTCCGCCTTGGTACGATCGTGATGGTCTCGTGGACCTCACGTAGCCCTCCATGTGCCACTTGTTGATCACTTGTCAACGCCTTACCCAGTTAATGCTGTTTGAAGTGGCAGAGAACCATGTTCCTGCGTCTTGCTTCTGGCTCCCAATTCGAGAGATGTCTTTTTCACGCATATTTCTAACATGCACGTCACTCTAGTTTACTCCTCGTTGTGACGGAGGTTACATTGTGCCTGATTAACGCACCAGTGATGATGTGAATATACAGAGACCAGCCTCGTCCCGCCAGACAAACCTCCGTAGCTTTTCAGCTGCAATACACAGCATCATCCAATAGGAGCTCCTTTCAAAGGATTCACAGCGATGTTGTTTTATGCACGCGTAGGTATCAAGTAATTGTGGCTGCCTCATGGTTAGATGACTCTAAGGCATCACCGCCTCATATAGAGTTGAAGATGAAGACGTGAGTCACCGCAAATAACCAACCCCTGTCGATGAATGAATTGTCCCCAGTGTTTTTGCCTTGCCACTCGCAGCGTGAGACCGTGAAATAGAGATAACGAGTCAGCAATAACAAGGCGCGGCAGAGGGACAGACAGTAACTTTGGTCTCGTTTCGATTGTAGACGGCCCACGTGTGACAGTCCACACGAGGCCACTGAAGGATAACGCGCTGAATCACCCACTGTTTATGCTGTGCCTTGGTTTGTTCAAGTCACTTGCTGCTCATGCATTCCGTACAAAACTCAACCGACCCCTACACTGAAGCCTTGTTCTTCTCTTCCCTTCCTAATTTTTACTATCATCTGTTGTTCACGAATCTACCGACGGACTCTGAACAGCGCCCGTCAATCACAAGCCTGCACTGCATAATCACCAATTTCTCAGCTGTAAAGCCTCTGAATTTGTGGCTGACTGCCAACTGTCTACGGAGTATTATAAACCCAACACAGCCCAAGCCCAAGCTCAAGGCACCAAACCCAAAAAAACCCAACAAGCAACCAAATTCAAAGACTTGCACGGAAAAGTGGGACAGGAAAACCAGCGCAAGCCAGAAGCCCCTCCCACTTGGACTATTTTCCAGCCCTGTCGCCTTTCATCCACCACTTCTCCCCTTCTTCTTCTTCAACAACAGCACGACCTCTATTCTAGAGCGACAATCGCCATCCATCTCTCATTCACAGCTTGAAATATCTATTCGATATTTCAGCTCTCAGATTTGTTTTTGCTTCTTGCATCTTCATAAAAAGCAACCAAGCATTCTCTTCAAATTGAACCACCACCCATACAACCACCCGACCGACCAAATGGCTACCCCCCAATCCACCACCTCTTACGAGGGCGCCGAAGGCGACAAGAAGCTCGAGCAGATCACCTTCCGATTCTGCTCCGAATGCTCAAACATGCTTTATCCCAAGGAGGACGAGGATGCTCACAAGCTTCAGTTTACCTGCCGAACTTGCCAGTACACCGAGGACGCCAAGTCTACCTGCGTCTTCCGCAACGTCCTCAACACCTCGGCCGGTGAGACCGCCGGTGTCACCCAGGATGTTGGCTCCGATCCAACGGTTAGTCATCTTCCACCTGTTCTCTGTTACGGCTGTGGCGGAGTCATCTTGTGCACCTCTTGCGGCCAGCCCGATTGCCAAATGGTCGTCTCCAACGAGAAAGTTAGTCAGCCCATCACGGGCATGTGCCAGTTCACCTTGCCATGGGAGGATCCTTTCGCCGACTACGACGAGGAGATGATGGACGAGGACTACGATGACACAAGGACCGAGTCTGATGACTTCCTCTCCGACGCCAGCGAAGAATTCCTCGAAGAGATCTCCATGTGCTGTGGTTCGTCCGAGAAATGTGAATCATGAGCATCTTCAACAAACATCCTGTATCACGACACTTATGTAACTGACGACACGACACGACACGACTGGCACGACTATATTATTCTATCTTGGGCTGGCTGGCACATGCTCTGGGCTTCTGGCATCATTATCCGGCGGCGAGCAGTTGGCGGCCGACCGTTCACATGACAAAGTATAAGTTGGAAACAGCAGTTGGAGCACTGGGTGTCTCGCGTCTTCTTTGGAACCCGCTTGTCATCGCTTAAAGACTGCTGGCTGACTTTATTTTTTTCTGCGCGCTGCAGCTCCCGCGATCTACAAAGACCTGCCCTAGTTGCCAGCACACCGAAGCTGTGTTTTTCCAGTCTCAGCAGCGAAGCGCTGAAACCGGCATGGTAAGTTGAACTCTCGTACGTACGCTTCAGAGATCAGCTCACTAACGCCACGATAGAAACTCTTCTACGTCTGTTGCGAGTGTGGTCACATTTTCACTTAAGCGAAACCTTGTATCGATACCCGGGTGACGGATCGTCGACGCCCAAGTTGTGGGGGATACTCGCATCATCATTTGAATTCGCAAGGCGTTTTTAGAGAGGGTTGTGGCATGGTTATGCCACTGGCGCCAGGTTATAAGGAGGGAAATGCAAATTGTATTCTATCAATGATCCTGTATAAGGCTGCTCAAAGCGGCGAGTAAGATTTTGGAGGAGGGCGACAAATGTACCAAGCTTACCCCAGTTCTTTCATCGTTTAGAATTGAGGGTCAAGTTTCTCGTCACCTTCCATAGGAGGGGTAAATTATCAAGATGCATCTGCAGTTTTTTTTCTATCATGCAATAAGTCCTTTGACATTAAACATTCCAAGTTATGCAACCACAGTGATTTTTAATTTGAGAGCTGAAAGGTGTCTGTATTTTCGTATCAACGCCTCGCAAATGCCAAATGTAGTAATATTCGTAATTGTACAGTATTCCACTCGTACACGGCCGTATACAGCCAAACCAATCCCCCGGTCTATCCTGTCTTTTGTAAATAACCATCCATCCACCCAAACTCCTTGCCAATTCTTTATGCCTGCATAGGCGCCATTGACAGAATCTTGCTCCACTTCTTGCGCTTCAGCTCAGCGCCAACAGCACCGTTGATACGTGATCCAACGGGGTCTCCAGACTTGTTCAGCAGCACACAAGCATTGTCGTCGAACTTGACGACCGAGCCGTCTCGGCGCTGTGTAGGGTATCGGGTTCGGACGACGACGGCGTGGCGGATATCACCTCGCTTGACCTTGTTGGCGGCAGAGATACCAGCCATACCACCGGAGGAGCTACCACGCTGCTCCTGCACGACGACGACGACACGGTCACCTGGGGATGTGTTAGTCAAACTGTTGCGTTATTTCGAGAGGATCGAGTGAGGTGTTCGTGGGGTTGTATCGTACCGATTCGGGCATGTCGTTTTTGGCCGACGACCAAGACGCATTCGACAAGGGCAGCGCCCGAGTTGTCGATGCAGTTAAGCATTGTCTGGTATTGTGAGTTAGCAAGAGATTGACAAGATGGGAAGGATTGAGGTACCTTTAATTGAATCATCTTGGCTGTGTTCCGCGCGCGGAGGTTCAATACTCGACTCTCACCACGGTCTAACTCGGGATATCGTCAATCGCCCAACCTGTCGTTGAATTTTTGGACTAGCATCACGTGCTCACAGCCACAGTTGCAGTACGCCACACTTGCTCCAGCGGAACCATCCATCTCAGCTGGGGTAATGAAATCTGGAGATATCGTGTCGTCTTATCATGAAGTGCATTTCTGTGACTATCCTTTGAGAGGGTAATACAAAAATAGCATCTCTTTGATGCCCGTGTCTACTGTAACTCACTACCAGCAAACAACAAACACCCTTTGATGATTGTATCCGTTCCATGGCTTGACAATTTGAGCTGAATTAATGTTTGAGAGTGATTTCCTAGGCCTACACAGCCCCACCCGTCGCCTGGCCAATGCCCCAAACCGGCCTCGATCCAGGGAAGAGGAACAAAGCAAGCCCCCCCTAACCTCGAAAGCACCCGAGCGAGCTACAACCATGTCATTCCACCTTGAACCTCCCATCACTTCCCTCCTTCAAGCCCGATTCCTTGAAAGGCACCCGCACCACGATCTTTTACTCACCCCAAGTCTCAGCCTCGTCTGTCTTTGTTCCATCGATAAACGCTCCTTAAATAGAGAGACGGAACCTATGACGTTGCGGCACTGAGTTAGCTGAAAACGAAACATAAAGCGCTTAACTTTGGCTTCTCTCTTTTCAACTCCTGCGCATTGCTCTACAAGATTCCAAAGGCTTCAATTGTGGCTTCGTTTGGCAAGGCTCTCTCATACTGAGCCAAGGATCTACATCTCCGCTCTTTTCTCGCTCGGACTTTTACAGCTAGTTTCGAGGGACACGTACGTTCTTTTATTCCGTGGACGACAGCTTTACACAGCAGAACTGGCTTGGGAGTGGAATCGAATTAGGCAAAATGCCCCCATCACAGAAAGCGGCTGCCAGAAAGCCGCGCATGACGTTGGCACAAGTGTCAGCATATGATGACATTCTCACTGATGCCCTGGTCGATCATGTGAGTGGTTTACGGCTGATTATCGCTCATGAGGCAATGCGACTCTAACACAGGCAGGTCTTTTACTGGACAACGGTCCCCAAAAACCGCACATCATATCATCCATCCAGAGGTGTGAGGGAGGAGGAGATCGCCAAGATCTTGCAAGAGGAGGTGGTTCTCAAGAAGGACTTGGACAGTGCTGAGAAACGATTGCTGACAACAAACGGGCTGAAACGGTTTCACAATGGATTGAAGACCGACAATGAAAAGGAGAATTTCCGACGGCATCTTAGGCGATATGTTCAAATCTACCTTCCGGATTGTCCGTGGGAGGTCAGCTCGACAAACCGATACACAATTGTTACTCACGAGGCTGCCGTGACAGCCAGACGACCAATCCGACGCAACGAGGCCATCAAATATTTATCCGGTGTTCAAGTCATCATCACTCCAGAGGAGGAAAAGGCCATCTCATCTCAGAAGAAGGACTTTAGCATTGTGGTCAGCTCACGAAGCAAGTGCACCAGCCTGTTTATGGGCCCTGCCCGCTTTGCGAACCACGATTGCGATGCGAACGCCAAACTTATGAGGACGAGCCATGCAGGAATCGAGATTGTCGCAACAAGACCCATTGAGGCAGGGGAGGAGATTACAGTTACTTATGGAGACAACTATTTCGGGGAGAGCAACTGCGAATGCTTGTGCAAGACATGCGAGGATCTTTTACAGAATGCGTGGGAACCGGAAGAGGGCACAGTGCCTGTGAAAACTAGTATTGAGCAGGAAAAGTCAGAGGGTTACTCATTACGGCGACGACGGAGAGATGACAGTATCTCTGGGTCTTCACGGACACCATCAGTCACTCCTGATATGCGACCGCGGATTACAAAAGCGACTTCAAGAGGTTCAAAGCTAGCTCGCGATTCATCATCTGCCAGGTCTCCGCCCGCCGAGCAATCCAACAATCGAAAGCGACAGCATGATAGTTTGGCAACACCGCCCAAGACTCCAGCGAAGCGACAGAAGGTTTCGGCTGAGAAGACGGTGATTATCATTGATGATTCGTCGCGCAGCACATCTGTCACTGCCAGCGAATCTTCAAGCGGTGTCGTCGAGACAGATGTCACTTCGCCAGAGAAGGAGACTCCAGAGCCTCTAGGACATACGCCATTGAAGGGAAATGCGAACAAGGGCAGTCAACAGACAGAGGGGGCACCAGTTTCACCGCAGAGCAGCCAAGGTTCACGATCACCGCAGCAAGCGGCTGAAATGGCGAGAGAGAGAACCCGTCGAAGTGGTCTGGAGAGTATGACTATCCAGGCCATTTTAAACGCTCCTCTGGAGTCTGAGGTTGAGAATGAACCTGAACCGGAAAAGCTGAAAGAAGCAACTGTGGTACCTCCACCAACCGAGCCTATTGCAACCAGTATCGAAACTGTCGAGGACAGTCAAGTGGCTGATGAAGATCAGCCAAAACGAAAGAAGTACCAACGTCGTGTCTATAAGGAAGATACGCCTCCATCTAGAGTGCGAGTGCCCGGAGATTACCTCCTTACACCGCTACTCTTATCAGAACCTGAGATGGCCTGGATCCAGTGCACCATCTGCGACGGTTACTTTGTACAACAGAACGCATATTTTACACGAGCTTCATGCCCTCGCTGCGAACGGCACTCAAAGCTTTACGGGTACATCTGGCCCAAGACGGACAAGGCCGGACCGCATGACAAAGAGGAGCGCATTCTGGATCACCGCACCATCCACCGATTCTTGGATCCCGATGATGAGCGAAAAGTGAGGTGCCGCAAGAGTTTTGGAAACCTCAAGACAGACACAGAAGAAACAGAAGAGCTCGAGCGGGGCCGCAAGCGACACAGCACATCAGGCTTGATGGGGCGAACGGGTCCTTCATCAGAACAAGACTCAAGCCATCGGAGAAGCGGAAGGCTTCGTCGGGTGAACAGTAGATTCCTCGACCCATGATGAACATACGTGGAGAACTTGCTGGAAATAATTCGGACCGAACATGATTTTTTTGAGGCGAGCGAGATTTATAATTGTATACTCCGTACTCTGTTTTTAACGGCATTGCTAGACCAAGAGGCCTAGTTTAGATAACTGACCCACCACCTGGACAACGTTATTTATTATAAATGTTTCAATGCATCGAAAGAACCAATGCTCATCGTCCGTGCCCAATGTGAAGATTCGCGCTCTGCACACGGAGGGAGGACTCTAGAGCTGGAGCTTTCCGAAAATCCAACGTCAAAGATTTCTAATCACAACGTCATTGACCCATCATGAACATGTATATAAATTCCTGCTCCCAATCTCCAAGATGAGGATTCTCAAGGATCATTAAGCATAACATTCCTTCTCAACACTCATCATCATGGCTGCATATCTCACCAACCGCATCTGCCATCCTCACCACGGCATTCCCGTGTCGAGACCCGAAACTCCTGCCCCCACAAAGACTGAGAAATGCAGCCATCCCATCGTCAACAAAGCTGCAAAGGACGTTCCCTTCTTCACGCCCGAGCAGGATCCTCCGGCTGGTCTGGCTATTCAGCCCAGTGATGGAAGCCCTGTTCCTAGACTCTTCCAGCCGCTCAAGATTCGAAATGTCACTATGCAGAATAGAATCTGGGTCAGCCCTATGTGTCAGTACTCTTGCCATGAAGGGTTCATGACACCTTGGCATATTACGCACTATGGCGGTATGGCTCAGCGTGGTGTAAGTGGTGTTGTAGCAGTGAGATTGATCAAAGCTAATCTGCGTAGCCGGGTCTTATGATGCTTGAAGCAACTGCCGTCCAAGCTAATGGTCGAATTACACCTGAGTAAGTATAATCTCAAAACTTGTTGCAGCTCATTTTCTGATCTTCATAGGGACGCTGGTATCTGGCTCGACGCCCACGTCGACACTCTTCGTAAGAATGTCGACTTTGCTCACAGCCAAAACACAAACATCGCCATTCAACTCGCCCACGCAGGCCGCAAAGCAAGCTGCGTAGCACCCTGGCTCAGCGCCGGCGCCACAGCCACCGAGGAAGTCAACGGGTGGCCCGACGATGTCGTCGGCCCCAGCGACGAGCCCTTCAACGAGAACATGCCCACGCCTCGCAGCATGAGCATCCAGGAGATCAACCAGCTCAAGAAGGATTTCGTCAAGGCGGCCAACCGCGCCGTCACCGCTGGTTTCGACGTGATCGAGCTTCACTTTGCGCACGGCTACCTCGTCAGCTCGTTCCTTACACCTAGTGTGAACAAGCGAACGGATCAGTATGGTGGAAGTTTTGAGAATAGGACGAGGCTGGCGCTTGAGCTTGTGGAGGAGGTTCGTGCTGTTATTCCTGAGACGATGCCGCTTTTTGTGAGGATTAGTGCGACGGATTGGTTGGATACTAACCCTGAGTACACCGGCGAGAGCTGGACTGTCGATGAAGCTGCGAAGCTCGCTAGTCTCTTTGCTGAGCGCGGCGTCGATGTGATCGATGTATCCAGCGGCGGAAACCATCCCCAGCAGAAGGTCCAAGGCGGACCGGGCTATCAAGCCAAGTTCGCGAAGCACATCAAGAAGGTTGTTGGCGACAAGATGCTCGTTAGTTCAGTGGGCAGTATCAAGACCGGTACACTAGCTGAGGAGATCATCTCTGGAAAGGACGATGGTGTCAAGTTGGATCTCATTGCGGCGGGGAGGATGTTCCAGAAGAATCCTGGGTTGGTGTGGGCTTGGGCTGATGATTTGGATGTTGAGATCCAGCTTGCGCATCAGATTGGATGGGGATTTGGAGGACGGGCTTCGAAGAAGCAGGATCATGTCAAGTTGAGCATTCCTTGATCTTGCTTGGGGAAGAATAAAAGGTGGTTGTTTGAAAGTAGACATGGAAGTTGAAAATGGGTGTATAAAAACTTCATTTAATGTGAGGGATTGGTTAATAACAAACAAGACAGCATAAACAACTTGACAATTCGATCTCATCGCTTCTG